TTATATTAGGAATATATTCCCAATTATAACACACACACACACACACACACACACACACACAAACATATACATATATGCAGGTAACAGCAATTGATGAAGAAAGAGGCCATAGATTTGAAAGAGAGCAAGGAGAGGTATATGTGAAGGTTTGGAGGGAGGAAATGGAAGGGAGAAATGGTATAATTATATAATCTTATAAGTAAAAGAAAAAATCTGGTAAACCTGACTGTTCTGGGGTAAATGAGCTATGAATGCAAAAGTAGATGTGGCAAGATTACCATTCATTAAACTCACAGATATTTATTGGATATTTTTTATATTCAAAGCTCCATGCTATAAGGTGTGCCAGACTAAATAAAAGAAAATGTTTGCTTTGTCCTTGTGAAAGAGCCAAGGAAGAACAGATATACAAGGTCAGGTAGTGAGACGGGATGGAAGTGAGAGGTGGCATTTTCTACTGCTGAGGTAGTGCTGTTGTATTTGTCCACGCAGAATCTGAATTGGTACCTAAGCCAGCAAGTTGACTATGGCAGGAGAAGACATTGGAGAGGCAGCTAGTACTTATTTTCCTTGAGGAGTGCTCTGTCGGCTCAAAGAGTTTTGAATACTTTTCTAAATATGCCGAGAAGTCACTGGAAGATTGGAATTTGCAGTGTGGCACCTGTGACGTATAAACAGTTCTACGGTTTTTACCTGGAGAACTCACCGTGAAGGGGCAACAGGAGAAACAAGGAAGCCAAAAGATAAAAAATAAGGCTATTGGTTGGTGGTTTAGATCATAGTGAGGGCACATAGAGAAAAATGTGTGCAGACTCAGGGAAATCAGTAGGGAGAGTGGATGAGCTTTGCTGTCATTCTCCTTTGAGGATGGGACAGAGGGAGCTCTAAAAATCAACTCCAAGTTCATCAAGACCTGCATCTCTAGTAATAGTGACAAATTTGATGACTTAGGATTTAAGAGTGTATCCTGAGGGAGTCAAACATGATGTCTTGACTCTGGGAACCGAAAGTACTGTATGTCTTGGAAAATTTATGATGTAATTTAGATGAATAGCCCAAGGACAGGTTACCTTCTCCTCTCAAGTGAGAAAAGAGCCAGTACCTTCCTCAGGAAGCTGCAAGACAAGGTTTGCAGGATGTTTGGTCTGTCCATGCTGGTGATGGTCTGTCTGTTCTGCCAGCATTGGGGTAAGTCCTAGTGATCAAGATACAGCTGAGGATTACTTAAGGAGTGGCCAGATGCCGGGGAAGGAGGGGTTTCCAAGCTGGCTGCTGGGGCTGTGGAAGTCTATGAGATTGTAACAAAGGAGACTGCTTTGCCTTCTCTTCACAGGTGTCCTTAGTGAACCTGGAGAAGGTATGATCATAGCTGGCGCAACGTCTTTGGTAAACAGTTCATTTTTGACACCTTCAGGAGCAAATCTCCCTTCCAGTTACTACAGAATTCTGAGAGTCCAGTCTCCTGGCTTATTTACTCTATGGCTATTAGTAAGGAGTTATAATTACTGTGGTTTCCTTTTACCTATTACAAACACCCACGACAAAAATGTTCAGTCTATACAAGGTGCTTATTATGTGTACTCTGTGGGTAAATTCTACAGGAATCCTGACCGCCTCAAATGGTATACTGTTGGTTTGTGGCTATAAGCTTCTCTTTCACAATCCCAGCATTTTGAGACAAAGGTAGGTGGATCTCTTTAAGTTCCAGGCCAGTCAGGGCTACATAGAAAGATCTTATCTCAAAAAACCAAAACAAAACAGTAAAAAACCCCAAAAGATTATTATAGGAGCTCTATTCTGGGAAGGTAACAACCCACGATCAATAGTAACTTCCTGCAGAGAAGGCTCTAATTGCATAGGTTTTCGTCAGACCACATTCACTAAGTACTTCTTTCTGTATCTAGCAGATCTTGGAACAATGTGTTATAAATGTAAGAAATATCATCTTGGGTTATGCTATGAAATCATGAGATCCTGCACACTGAAGCATAGACAGTCCTGTGCAGCTGAGAACTTTTACATACTCACAAATAAAGGTAATGTGGGGATGGAATAATGGGCAGCTAACCACACCTTCCTTTCTAAATAGCAGGTCCTCTTGTGCTTAGGATGACTGGGAGAGTGGAGTGGATGCAGATGAGCAGTCTTGTAAAGGCTGGAAAGATAGACCTGTCCTTAAGATAACACTGAATGATGGTGGCGCTGATGTCTCTCATCAGTTATGGAGTGAACTCCCTTCCCTGGGTTAGCAACGAGTACAGAAAATTATGAAAACTTGAAGATAGGTTATTACCAGAAACATGGAAGTGGGAAATAAAATCTTCAAAGTTGTTTTCCTCTTTCACTTCCTAGGACAGAGCATGTATCATTATTCAAGACTGTCGTGTATGACCAACTGTGAGGACATCAACTTCCTGAGTTTTGAAAGGAGGACAGAGCTAATTTGTTGCAAGCACAGTAGCTATTGCAACCTCCCAATGGGACTCTAGTTCTGAATTTATTATGGATTTGGTATCAGTCTTCAACTTACTACCAACTCCCTTTCCCCCAAAGTTTGTATTTACTCTCCCCTCCTAACTAATCATAAATGGGAAAATCATTTGCCAGTGAAAAGAGAAGCAGTCATGTGAGAAACTGGCCTGGGATCTCAGCCTCGTTGCTAAGCAAATCTTTGTAAATTCGCTTTGTCATACCTAGCAGGGCATTTTGATCTGTGGACAATCCTGATCAACATGAGTAGGTCCATAATTGATCATCTCATATACAAACTTACAAGTCTTTGCCTCAAAATGTCATCCCACCTTTGTACAGAGAAATCTCTAAATATACTCTGTGTTGGTCTGCACCAAGTCTTCTGAGTTGGGAATTTTCTTTGGGCTAGCGCTGAGACTTCCTGGCATAGTACTTATGGATTCTGGAGGTAAGAGAGAGTTAATACTAACTTCCAAATTTGCTAATGTTCTGAGACTTTTTTTTTTTCTTTCAAATACCATGAAAGAAATATTAGGTGAGAAAAACCCGGACAAGCAGAGAGATTAAACTACAAAACTAGAAATTTATGGAAGTTGTCATTGATGCAGAGACAGTTTAATGTGTGTGGACCTGATCTGTATTGTTAAGGCTCTGGCTCAACCAGGTGATTGGATTAAGGGTTCAGGCCTTGTTCACAAGTGATTACTCAATATATTTTGATGAGAGTGAAGAAAAAAAATGAAAATGGGTTTTCATAGTAGTTAACAGTAACAATATGTAAAGATAGCATGAGGGATTATGTACTTGTTTCCTTTCTGTTGCTGTGACAAAATACTTTGACCAATACCAACTGAGGGTAGGAAAGAGTTTATCAAGTTTATACGTCTAGATAATAGTCCACCATGGAGGGAAGTCAGGGCAGGAACTCAAGGTAGGAACCTGGAGGTAGGACCCATAGAGGAACAATGCTTGTCATAGGCTAGCTTTCTCATACAATATGGGACCAACTATCTTAAAATGGTACTACTAATAGTGGTCTGGTGTGTGGCCATAGCTCGAGCATGGGCATGGATCCTGTTGGGCTGAGTTGTGGGTCCCATGTGTCTGCCGCCCCAGGCAGCTAGGGCCATGGCTCAGGGGACAGAAGCACAGGAAGTTGCCTGAGTTCACTCCACGTGCGCTGTGAGAAGCCACAGGACTCCACCCTAGGTGTAGAGAGAACACAGTCTGAGACCTCGCAGGGGCTGGAGCTCTTGGTCTAGAGGTTCATGGGCCAAGGTGGCTGGCCGGGAACCAAGTGGTCTCAAGCCCTTGGGCTCCCAGGCACTGCCGGGAGGCCATAGAAGAACCAAGATTGGGGGGCCATATGGGCTGGATCGACTCACAGCCGAAAGGGGTGAGGGGGATAAGCTCTGGGGGTCACGGTGACTCATTTGGCTGGGTCATGGCTGGCTCAGCTAGCTTGCTTGAGTTGGTGGATTCTGTGGCTAGAACACAGAGAGATCCTTGGCAGGGGATTAGACTGTGGCTTGGTAGTTGAAGGCCTTCTCCATGGTCCCCCATGGTGGGCCCCAAGTACGAGAGGTAGTTCATGGTTTAAAAAAGTTTATTGTCATGTCAGAAAGTGGATGAATCTGTACCCCTTGTTCTCAGGGTAAGCCTGAGGTTAAATACCTTTTGCAAGTAGGAAGAGGATCTGGGAAGGAATGCTTAATTGGTTACGCCCTCTGTTCTTTAGGTATCTAATTAATATGGAGATCTCTTGAAGCTCTGTGGCCTGTAGTCATTCCCTCTACCTGTGCTAAGTGACTGAAGGCCACAAACCTTTCTTAGAGAGGGCCTGTGGATGGATGAAGCTAAGTGAGAAGAACTAGGAGGCCCAGGAGTACTACCAAACTCCTACCGTCCCTTTAGGGTCTCCGGGGTTAGAAGCAGACTCAACTGGGTACCCCATTGCCTCTCACAGCCTACTGCCCCACAGTCTGGACCCCCTTATGTCAATAAGAATAATCAAGATTGTCCCCACACACATGTCCACAAGGCAATTTAATCTAGGCAACGTCTTTCCTTTCCTTCCCTTTCCCTTTCCCTTTTTCCCTTTCCCTTTCCCCTTCCCTCCCCTCCTCTTCCCTTCCTTCTTTTTCCTTCCTTCCTTCCTTCCTTCCTTCCTTCCTTCCTTCCTTCCTTCCTTCCTTCCTTCCTCCCTCCCTCCCTCCCTCCCTCCCTCCCTCCCTCCCTCCCTCCCTCCCTCCCTCTCTCTCTCTCTCTTTCTTTCTTTCTTTCTTTCTTTCTTTCTTTCTTTCTTTCTTTCTTTCTTTCTTTGGTTTTATTAATTTACTTTACATCCCAACTACAGAAACCCATGATTGGTCAGTTGTAAAGAAGAAGAGACTAGAATGTCCAGCTCTAAATAGAACATCTGTGTCACATTCTCTTCCTTTAAAGGTGAGAGATCTTCACAGAAGAGGGGGAAGAAATACTGACAGAAAGAGTAGACATCTGTAGGGAAACAATATTTTCTGGACATGGTAGCACAGTTGCACATATGAATTCACATAGACTGAGACTGAATGCACAAGACCAAGTGAGTCAAAATTTCAGCATGGAGGCGTCAGAGGCTCATGATGTGCCACCAAGTTTGAGGGACTATTGTCAATTGATAGCTGCTTGGCAAGGATTAGTCAATTTTCTTCAGGAATGCAGTTCCTGAGAGATGACCCTTCTCAGAATAACAAGGAATCAGGGTATACAAGAATGTGTTCTGTCTGTGTTGTCATCCTAATGATAGGACATGGACAGCCAGTGCTTCATCCTGATTTTCCCAGGTCTAGCTCTTTGTTCATCTCTTATAGTCTGCTTTAAAATGTCATCTATTTATTCTTTATCTGTTACATTTTATTAAATATTCCCACCTGTTTCTTTTGTGAAAGTTTTGAAGTTGCATTTACATTATTTTCAAATATAACTTTTGATCTAGAATCCCTACAAGTTCTGATGGTCTGATTTTAGAGTTCATGTAGCTTAAATTTGGCTTTCTTTGGCATAGCTGTACACATGTGATTTATATTTATCTTTCTAAGAAAGCATGCTTTCCTGGGGTTATCATATTCTCTACCTGACAATGGAATTTTGATAGGGTAGAAATTCAGATTCAAGATCAGTAATCTTGGTGAATTAAAAAAGTGGAATGTAGTGAGATTTAAGGAGGTAATTTTAAAACTTTAAGAAACATCTAATGAGAGCTGGACAGATGGTTCTTTGGGTAAGATCACCTGTGCAAGCATGAGGAACCAAATTCAAATCTTCAGACTTTATGTAAAAAGCCTGTTGTGATTGGGCACACAACTGTAACCCCATCAGAGAAGGGCAGAGACAGAATGCTCAGTGGGGCTTGCTGGTCACCAGCCAACTACTTCCAAGTTCAGTGAGAGACTCTGTCTCAAGGGAATAAGGCAGAGAAGAATTGAGAAGAACCCGGGAATCCTCAATGAATGAACAGATTGTACACACACATACACATGACCATAACACACACACACACACACACACACACACACACACACACACACACACAGAGAGAGAGAGAGAGAGAGAGAGAGAGAGAGAGAACAAGTGAGATAATAATTCTCTTGTTTGCCCATTTCATTCAACAACTTCTCTATCATAGTCATAATGTTGACCCCTTAGAGAGAAGCCACATCATGCTGAGGTGACATAGACTTCCTCAAATATAATCTATAGCTACTGGGGGCAAGGGATGGGCAGATGACTTGCCCCGTAATATTTCTTTGTAGCCTGGTGTTAAAAATCTAGTGTGGACAATACTTTGTCTTATCAAAGGTATCCCACACTGAAGTGTGGGAGACAGGCAAGAACAAATTTTAATTACCTTTTCTGTATTGACCCTGTGCTATGCCTACCCCCACTACTACAGGCAACCAAGTGCTATGACCACAGAATAAAAAGGTTCTGGATATTAGATAAATAAGATAAAACATATAGCTTGGAGTGATGACACACATCTATTGTAACTGCCGTTTTTTTTGTAACGGCCGTCGGGTTCTGCTACTTTGTAAAGGCCGGCCGGTTCTGCTGCTCCGGTCGGCAGGTCAGGGTCTAGCAAGAGAGAATGGGGACGGAGGAAGGGGAAAAAAGGGGCGAGAGACGCAAAAGATAGATACAAGCCAGAGTCTGGTGGAGTCTCTTCAAGTCTTCTTTATTTTCTTATCTTCTTACTATATTCTCACTCCTTCAGTCTCCTGACACCTCTCACTTTTTCTCTCCTTCCTCTACTTCCTACTTCCTACTACCTCCTACTTTCTACCTCTACCTCCTCGACTCCTCTACTCCTCTACTCCCCTACTGCTCTACTTCTCTATAGAAGGGAAATCCTGGGTATTTATACCCTTTACCACGTGACTTGCCCTCGTGGACAATCTCAACTGAAGCCACTACATCACGTGCCTTGTAGCCATGGATACCAGGAGCACCTGGCAGCTGGGGGCACTAAACAGTGTAACAAGATGTTTATCAGAGTGCGCTCAGCTATTGCAGGCTGTTGAAACAAGTCTCTTGTCAGGGTATATGGCTCGAGATGGCTGTAAAGATGATAGCCACTTTCGGCTAAGAGTCGGCTCCCAACAATCTATAATACTAACAAGCAGGAAGCTGAGGCAGTATGATCAAAAGTTCAAGACTAGGCTAGGCTCCATAGTGAGACTCTGCCTGAAGAAGAGATAATCAAGGAAAGGGAAGCATGTAGGCATCTTAACTCCAAGGACAATCAAAGCCTTTATCCAGGTCCAGTGAGAAAGAGCATCTACTCAGGACACTATGAACGGGGGTAGGGGGGAAGGATAGCATACAAGCAAACCCTTAACAAAGAAACTGACAACAATGCATCAGAAAATGATGTGGATCTCAGTGCTGTACCAGAAGAGCAAATGTTAGTTCAGATGTGTGATTTCAAAGACATGACGTCAGTCTCTGTAGTGAAGAGTGGGTTGAATCACTGTAA